CCTGTCCCCAGCCATGTGCCACCAAGTGCGCCCCGCCGTGCCCCGCGCCCTGCGCCCCCGCCCCCTGTGCCACCAAGTGCGTGACCAAGTGCGTCCCCACCTGCACCACGCCCTGTGCCACGCCCTGCGCCACGCCCTGCGCCACCAAGTGCGTCCCGGAGCGCTCCTACACCTTCTCCACCCGCTGGAAGCACCCGTGCCAGAGGGGCCTCTGCAAGATCTGAGCGGTTTTTTTGGGGAAAGAACCACGGAAAGGAACGAGGGGAAGAAGCGAAGGAATACGGAATGTGATCGGAAGGCTGCCGGAGAGGGAAGCGCCGCTGGAAACCAGGACCCTGCGTTTTAAGTCTAGGATAGAGCTTTAGTTTAGTTCAGGCTTTTCTTTCTTCTTGGGGCTTTGCATCTTCTGCCTGTGCTTTGGACTTTCTCTGCCCAGTTCGACACCCAGCGTGGATCGGAAACGAGGGATTTGGGGAATGGTAGGGATTGGAAGGTCTCGGAAAGTGCGAGAGGAGGGGGTGTCAGGCTGGAAGGGGTCAGGCTGGAGCGGGTGATTGTGATTTTGGGTGATTTTGGGCGATTTTGGGCTTTTCTCAGGGTAAGCTCCTCTTTGTCTGCATTATTCTCTCTGCAAATGTTCGACTCCACTTTGCATTCCCATTAAAATGCTGCTGCATCAAACCCGTCCCGAATTCCCTTTTTCCTCTGCTCCTTGGGCTCTCTTGGGGAGAACTCAGCCTTGGATAGAGGGACAGGAGACCTCCAGGCTCTTCCCGGACCACTCCAAACTTGACTAAAGGTAAAATTAAGGGTTAAACTTCTGGGATAAAATACTTTATTCCTAAAAAACCCCCCTGGCTCTGCATTTTCTGGGATAAAATATTTTATTCCTAAAAAAACCCTGGCTCTGCATTTTCTGGGATAAAATATTTTATTCCTAAATAAACCTGGCTCTGAATTTTCCAGGATAAAACCTCCAAACTGTAGCAAAACGGGATTTTTTAGCATCCTGTTCATACCCAGCCCCGTTTGGGGACTTTTTTTTCCCCTCTAAACAAAGGGAACTGAGGAAAACCCAATCTTTTCTCCCCATTTCTGCATCCAAACTTTCCTGAACTGCTTTTCCACGGAGTCTTCTCCACCTCTCCACCGTGACAGGGAGGGACACGGAGCTTTTCTGGACCAGAGCCCCAAATTCCAGGAGCCGGTGCCAGCAGCGGATCCCTGCAGGCAGTTTGGGATGCCAGGCGTGTCCTGCTCATCCCATTCCGAGCCATTCCAGGCGCTGTTTTTATCCTAAAGATCACGTTCGGTTCGTTCTTCCCTAATGGCCACGTTGGAGCCCGCGCTGGAATTCCGGGTCATTCCCGCAATTACTCCAGCCCCAAAATATCCCGGAGCTTCCGCAGAACAAAGGGAGCCGGGGACGCTTCCCAAACACTCCCAGGCTGGATTACGCCAGGACCTGGAATGTTAATTTAACGTTAATCAGCTCTTATTTGGGTTAATTGCCCTAAGACTGGAATAATCGATTTGGGAAAAAAAAAAAAAAAAAAAAAAAGTCATAATTTTCATCATTTCATCATTTCATCGTTTCACGTGTTTTTATTTCTTTATCTGCTCCGAATATTTTATTTTTTCCTTTTAGTAAATTGATTGTTTTCACCCTAAAGTTGCTCTTCTCTCGTTTTATGGTGCCAAGAACCGAGATTTGGGAACGTTTCCCATCGGCTCAAAGTTTAAAGAGGGGGCTCCCAAAATCCATTGGAATCCCTCTGTGGAATTCCAAAAGTTCGCTCTCTTCGTATTTTGAAACAAATTGGGGATTTTTGACACTGAAAAAACCAATATATCCGAGCTAAATTAAAATAAATAAAATTGTAATTTCCAGCAATTTTTCCCCTTTAATTCCTCACCAAATTCTTTGGGAAAAGAGAACCTCCAACTTCTTTGTGGACATCCTTGAAAAACTGTAACATTTAGAGGCAAAAAAAAAGGGGGGGATATTTGAGGGGAGTGGTAAAATAGGAAAATCTGAAGATAATCCAGCTGTGGATAAACCGCTTGGAAAAAAACAGGAATCCCTCTTCCCTAAATCCCTAAATTCCCTAAATCCTAAATAAAAATTGTTAATAAATAATATAAATTTATTACATTTTTCATGTCAGTGCTGAGACTTTAGGGAGAGCGGGGCTTTATTAAATTATTATTAAATCCCTATTTATAGACGAGATAATTGCTGCCCTCTGGGAATCGCACGGATTCTCTGGAGGAGCTGGGATGGGATCCCGCCCTCGGCGTCTCCCGCCACCTCTGACATAAATTATGGGATTTCCTCAACGCCCCGGGGTGGTTTTGATGTCAGAAATCTCGGGATTAACACGTTTTACCGCGCTTATTCTAAATAACTTTTAATTAATTTAAATGATTCATTAAATTAATAAATAAAATTATATATAACTAAAGAATAAATAAATAAATAAATAAATAAATAAAATAATCTAGGTAAATAAATATTCATTAAATAATAAATTAAGAAGAAATCCAAGAGATTTGGATGCAAACAGAGAAGTTTATTGGGATAAAAGTCGAAAAAACACAAGTTGCATTTGATCCGAATTAATAATCTAAATATCTAATTAATTAAAACTATTGATTTTCATTTCATTTTTCCAGTTTGGGTCACGTTTCAAAGGGACTGGACCAGGTGAGGCTTGGAGGTATCCAAGGAAAAAAACCCACAAATGGGCAAAATGCCCGATCCCAAACAATTAAACCCACCCATGGAAAAATTCCCGGGAATTCTGTGGCCTGACAGCAAAGAATGGGAAAACAATTGGGGGTTTGAAGAGGGAAAAGGCAAACTCAGAGAAAACTGACATTAAAAACAAGAGATGGGAGAGGAAGAGCAGCTCCCAGGGGGGGCTGAGGAGGTTCCAGCAAGGCTGAGGAGATTCCAGGAATGCTGAGGGGTTTCCATGGATTCTGAGCAGCTCTCATAGATTTTGACCAGTTCCCGTGGATCCTGACAAGTTTCCATGGATTCAGAGCAGCTCCCATGGATTCTGAGCAATTTCCACAGATGCTGAGCAGTCTCCATGGATTTTGAGTAATTTCCATGGATCCTGAGCAGTTTCCGTGGATCCTGACCAGTTCCCATGGATCCTGACCCGTTTCTATGGATCCTGACCCGTTTCTATGGATCCTGAGCAGTTCCCATAGATTTTGACTTGTTTCCATGGATCCTGACCAGCTCCCATGGATCCTGAGCAGCTCCCTTGGATTCTGAACATTTTCCATGGATTTTGAGCAGCTCCCCAGCCTCACAGAGCCGTGTCCCCCCGCTCAGCTCCCAACTCCATCCCCCCCGCTTTCCCCGTCCATCCATCCATCCATCCATCCCCTTTTCCCGACTCAGCAGGGCCCGCAGCTCCCGGAGCGCCGGCTCCAGGCATTCCTGGGGGAGCAGGAGGAGAAGAAGCCTCCGTAGACCCTGGAGCCCTGCAGGCCCACGGGGCGCTCTATTCCCGCCGGGAATGCGGATCCCACGATGCTCTCCTGCGGGCAGGAGCTGAGGATGGGCCCCGGGAAGGTGATGACCACGGGCGGAGGGTAGACGACAGCCCTGGAGTCCCCGCAGGAGGTGACACAGGGCTGGCTCCAGGCGTCAGCGCAGGGCTGGGGACAGGAGACGGCGCAGGGCGCGGAGCAGCGGGAGCTGAGCTGGCTGGAGAAGGACATCCTGGCAGGAGAGAGGCGGAGCTGCTGCGGGAAGGAGAGGGGAGGGTTGAAAATCTGGGCGGCAGAGCCCCTGATGGTATTTTTCTCTCTTTCGCTTCCCCCTGTCCCTCTCCTCCTTCCCTCCTTCTTTGCCTCCCTCCAAAATCTCTGATTTTTCTATTTCTCCCGTCTTCCTGTCCCTCTCCTTCCTCCCTCCTTCCCTTCCTCCTTCCAAAATCTCAGATTTTTCTCTTTCTCCCTTCTTCCTGTCCCTCTCCCCTCCTTCCCTCCTTCTCCAAAATCTATCCAAAATCTCTGATTTTTCTCTTTCTCCCTTCTCCCTGTCCCTCTCTCCTCCTGCCTCCATCCCTCCCTCACTCCCATGCACCTGCTCCACAAAAACTCTTTTTTTTCTCTCTTTTTCCCCTTCTCCCTTGTCCCTCTCCCTCTCTCTCTCTCTCCCTGCCTCCCTCCCTCCCTTCCAGGCATCTCCTCTCCAAAATCTCTGAGGATTTTCCTCCTTTTCCCTTCTCCCTGTCCCTTTTTCCTCTCTCTCTCTCCTTTCCCGCTCAGGAAAAACTCCGATTTTCCTCCCTCTTTCCCTTCTCCCTCTCCTTCTCCCTTCCTCCCTCCTTCCCAAACAGCTCCTCTCCAAAAACTCAGCGTTTTCTCTCTTTTTCCTTTCTCCCAGCTCTTCCCTCCCTCCTTCCCAAGTCATTCCCTCTCCAAAAACTCCGGTTTTTCTCTTTTTCCCTCCTCCCTCTCCCTCTGCTCCTCCTCCCTCCCTCCCAGGGCTCTCCCAGTCCCCCCAGGAGCGAATCCCACCCCCAAAGCACCCCCAGACTCACTCAGATCCCGACGAGGAGAAGCCCGAGGAGCTGAAATCTCAGGAATCCGGAGCTGGGATGGGAGGAATTGGGAGCCGGGAGCCTTTTATCCCATCCCGGGATCGCCCGCGGGGGTTGAGACATCCCCGGCGTTTCCCAACCCTCTCCTGCCCGGGCTCCGATTCTTTTATCCGCCTCGGGACAATTATCGGTTTCTCCCAACACCCTCGGGTTTCCTCCTTGCGTTTTGTTTTGTTTTTCTTTTGGAAGCGGTTTCGCTTCCTGCAGCGTTTTGCTGATTCCGCCGAGTTGGTGAAAATGTCGGGGAATGATTTTTTTTCTGTGGAATTGCTCCACAGGCAGGGACAGCTTCCATAGACCAATCCTTGGATGCTTCCAGGGGTGCGGAATCCATGGAATTCCATGAGCAAGACCCTCACAGGGAGCAATTCCTTCCCAAAAATCCCACCCAAATTCCCCCTCTGCCCCCCTGACCCCATTCCCCATGTCCTTTTCCTGAGGAAAAGCCCCTCTCCAGCTTCCCTGGATCCCGGGAACTCAACATTCCCAACATTCCCAGCCTGGATCCAAAGGGGATGAGCTCCAGTCCCCTGAGCAACTTCATGGCTTGGGGGACACCAGAACCGGGCACAGAATTCCCGGTGGGATCTCAGCACAGGGGGAGAATCAAACGCCGGGACCCAAAACGAAGGATTTTAGGGATTATTTGGGTTGATCCCACTGGGTTTCTCGGGGAGGTTGGGACAGGGGTGATTTCCAAGGAATCTGTGATTCACCTGCCGGGAAATGACGCCTCTGTCACCTTTTGGGGCCGCGCAAAGCGAAACCAGGTGTGGTCGGGGCAGGAGCAGCTCCCGGGGGCTGTGACCCCACAATTTCTCCTTCCTTCTTTTCTTCCTAATCCTGGTTTGGGTGAATCCTCTGGGCTGTAAATTCCAAGGGTTGGGAAAAACTCAGGGAAAGCCCAGGAAAGGCTCCCTCAGGCTTCCAACCCCAACAGTTTCCAATGGGAAAACTGGAATAAAAACGGACGTTTTGGGGATGGAATTCTCAGGGCTACTCAAAGCCCCACTGTTCGGTTCATAACTCCATAAAGGGGAGGGGGTTTGGAGGGGAAAAGCTCATTCCTTGAGGAAATTTGGGAATAACGTTGGGCATGGAAGACGTGGAGACACAACAGGAAATTTAATCCGTGAATGACTGGAGAGGGGGGAATCTGGGCAATAAATCTGCTGAAGTTGCAGCCAAACCTCTGCATCAGCTGGAGCTGCACCTGGACATTCCCAGCTTTTCCAGGGGTGATGCACAGATCCCCTCCCTGACCTGGCTCACCCCAATCCCTGAATCCTCCTCGCTCAGCAGCGCTGATCCCATCGATTCCCTAAAGAGTGGATTCCTCCTGGAAAACACCCAGGTTGCTCCACCTGGACATTCCATGAGGCTGGGAGTGTTCCTTGGCCAGGAGGGTGGGAACGAGCTCTTCCCATTCCCAGATTCCGTAGGAAGGCGCCCGCGGACGAGCGCGCCTCGGGTCGGAGTCACTGTGGGTCAATAACGGGAGAAATTGCACAATTCCCTTTTCCTCGGAAAACGCGGGGTGGGATCCGAGCTGTGTCAGCACCCGCTGCTGACGGATCAAGCTCTGAGCAATCCCCGCTCCGTGAGGCAATCCCAGAAGTAAAGGGGGGAAAAAAAGCAGCAACAATACAAATTAAAAATAAATCATTACATCGCCTGAGTAATGCCGTGGATGTAACAACAACAGTAATAATCGCTGAGCAAAATAATTACTTTATCTGGGGCAGTGACAGGTGGAGGGAATTTTTCTTGGATCATTCATCGGCCGTGGATGTTTCTGATTGCCCAAGAAATGGTATAAAAACACTCTCGGCTCTGGGCTGCTCCAGCCAATTCTCCCGACTCGCTCCGAGCTCCACTGGGGTAAGTCCGAGCCTGGAATTGTTCCTGGAACTGTTGGGATCAGATTTGAGGGTTTACAGGTTAATTTGGGGGTTTATTGTAAATTTCAGGATCTACTGTTAATTTGGGGACTACTGTAAACTTTAGGATATACTGTTAATGTGGGGGTTTACTGTAAATTTTAAGATTTACTGTAAATTTTAAGATTCACTGTTACATTTGGGGGTTTACTCTTAATTCTGGGGTGTTATTTTTGTGTCAAATTGACTCCACAATGAAGAGTCATCAGAAATGGGAGACAAGGACACGAGAAGACGGCAGAAGCCAAATTTTGAGCCTCTCCCTGATCTTTTTTTCTGCCCGTTCTCTCTCTTCCCAGCCCGACCTCCATTCCATCGTTCCAGAGCCATTCCCAGGAGATGTTTTCCTACAGACAGAGCTCCAGCTCCCGCTGCCTGGCTCCCTGCGCCGTCTCCTGTCCCCAGCCCTACGCGGACGCCTGGAGCCAGCCCTGTGTCACCTCCTGCGGGGACTCCAGGGCTGTCATCTACCCCCCACCCGTGGTCATGACCTTCCCAGGCCCCATCCTCAGCTCCTGCCCGCAGGAGAGCATCGTGGGGTCCTCGGCGCCCTCCGGGAACTTCTTGGGATCTGGGAATTTCCTGGGATCCAGGGGTTCCTACGGCTCCTGCGGTTATGGGAGGTCCTACTCTTCCTACGGATCCTCTGGATACGTCTCTGGGAGCTGCAGACCCTGTTAAATATCCGAGGAATGAGCAGAAAGGAGCCAGGAGCCGCCAAGGAGCCTCCTCCAGAAATCCCGGCAATTCCCGGCGCATCCTCAGCGCCCTCGCTTTGATGTAAATTCCCTTTTTCTCACTCTTTTTATTCCTCCCCCGGCGGCTCCTGCAAAAAAAAAAAACCAAAAAACAACCTCGGGATCGCCTTTTCCATGATCCCTGGCTGGCTGAAAGTGGGGTGAGGTCCTGTCACCTTTCCCACGCCGCGGAACTCCAGGAGTCATCCCTGTGGAATGCCCAGCCCTGGAGCCATCCCTCCCTTCGTTTTTCCCCCCATCCCCACCGCGATATTTCTCTCCCTCCTCTCTCATTAAACCGCTACGCATCAAAATCCAGAGTTTTGTGGTTTTTATCTGTAATTTTGGGGGTTTTTTTCTGCGACTTTCGGTGCCTTTCCACACCTGGAAGGCGCCCAGGAGCTTTTCGGCGGCGGCACAAAGTCATTCCATGAGGGATAAAAGAGGTTTTGGAGCGCTTCCAGATCCACTGGGATCTTCCCTCAGGGCGGGCGTGCCTGTTCCCTGTTCCCAAAGAAAGTCAGGCACGGGTGACTCGGATTATTCCCGTCTCAATGCCCGCCCCGGGCTGTGATTTAATTCCATCCCCACACGGTGATTTTGCGCTTTGTTGTTTTTTTTTTAATTGTTTAAAAATAACCCGGGGCGGGGAGGGGCTGGAGCTTTCCTTGGAAAACTTCCCCTGGAAAAAAATCCCGCAGGAATTTTTAGCTGAAAGGCAAAATTTTTGGTGGAGTTCTGTGAGTTCCTTGAACTTTCCCACAGATAAATAAATTAAATTAAATTAAATAAGAGTTGTTGAAGTGTTCCCTGCAGAGCAACCCGCTCTTCCCCCGGCACAGCTTTTCCAGGGGATTTCTGCCTGCCTGGAAGTGTTGGAGCAACCTGGGATAGGGGAAGGAGTCCCTGCCCGTAAATCAAAGATCTTTAAAGCCCCTTCCAACCCGAACCATTTTCTGGTTCTGTGAAACCCCAAAGGACAATTATTTAACATTTAACTCCTTAATTCTCCCGGGGCTGGGAAGGAAAAGAAAGAATCGCGGGAAAATGACCCCAAAACGGCTCAAAGTTTGGATTTTTCTCCTTTTTCCATCTCTGCTCTGCTCTGGAGCAGCCTCTGTTCCGTTGACCCCCGATTACGGAGCCAATTTGATACAAAAATCATCATTTTCTGTGTCTGACAGCGACATTTCCCGAAGTTCTCAGGCTGAATTTGAAGGATTCAGGAGAGAAAAATTTCGACAACATCAGCTCGGGCTCCTGATCCATCCAAACATTCCCGGAATTCCCGGGAGCGGGAAGAAAACTCTCAGGATGAGAAAAACTCTCCTCCTGAACCCCAGAGGTCACTGCATCCTTCTCTCAGTCCCAGGACTGTGTTGTTAATTGTTCTTATTTGCAATCTGCTGCTGAGTCATTAAAGGCGTTGCAAACACAGCCAGAGCCGGATTCCAGCTCGGAGCAAATCCCGATGCCAATTAAAACCTCTCGTGTTTGATTTCCATA